TATATATATAATAGAAGGAAGATATATAAGGGAGAATAAAATATGAGGATGATATGTGCATATAAATATGCAAGGTAGCAGATAGAGAGAGGGTGGATAAAGATGGATATAGGCGCAACGAACGGAGGGAATATATGCGCATAATTGATGGATGGATTGAGCGAGCAGCAGCATTTGAACTGAACTGAACGAAGAAGTGAATTGAATTGCAATTGCAGTGGTATTAGTTGAAGTGAGTGAGCAGTTTTCGTGGAATGAAGAAATAATATGATAGACATATTTAACGCTTTAACGCGATATTTCTTTCAATAGTTTGATGTTGTTGAAGTATCAATGCTTTATATTATGAGTTGATATGCGAGTGAGTATTATGTGATTCATTGAGCGACTGGATGAAGTGCTTTTATAATGTTTCATTATTGGATGGCATCTATTTTATATTGTTATAGTGTTAGATGGTAATCGTTTCGACTCGGTTGCATTTCACTTTGGGCATTTAAGCTATATGGATTCGTTCATGATTGCTGTTAGTATTCTGTCAACCATCATTTTAGTCTTCAAATCAGTTTGTGTTGATTTCCTACAAGCAGTAGCGATAATAGTAAATATCATCCTCCAATAACTGGCATCTGCTATGAAAGAATTGAGAATGTGTTATGACTGGTTAGTGGATGGTAGTGATGGTGCTATTGTAACTGTTGCTCTCTAAATGCGCATAATTGATTTTAAGATCGAGCAATCACTTGGCTACGATTATCATTATCATTATTCATTTCCTTCACTAATTTGAATACTGATAATGAAAAATATTTTCGAAATTTGTTTATTGTTTACTTGTATTCGTGTTTATCATCAACATGTGTTTAGTGATGCGGTTATTATGAGTAGTTTCCATTTGCTCATCATATTGTCAGTTGACATGTCAGGATTATTATTGCTGTTATCAGTGATATTGTAACGCCTAGGGTTATCATTATCACTGTCGTCATTATTCTTATGGTGCTGCTAAGAATGTTGGAAAACAATACTAAAAATAATAAAAGCAAAGATGAAATAACAGTTTATAATTTTCATAGTTGTAGATTATTTGATAGGTTTACGGTGAATATGTTCATATGAATGAAAGCTGTTTGTATAATGCAACATTCGCATAGTACTATAATAATATAATATAATTATGTAATAATAACTGGTAAGATGTCAACATTGATGATCCTCCTTTATTCTCTTGTTTTCATAAACTACTTGACTACTAATGCATTCATGCGCTTACCACTTGGACATATGAAAGGAAACCGAATGAATGAATAGCGAAATTGTTAGATGAATTGAATAAAATTAAACTGATTATCATCATCAAAACATAATTATGCTCATACTGTAATACTTAATCAATTATGATCGTTGTTATAAACTGAGCATTATCTTTCTCATTATGCGTCTATCAAATATGAGTTCGTCAACTTGAAGTTTTGTCAATTCAACGAAATAAAGAACAAAATGGTTATTATCTTACAGAAAACACCTTCCTTCATCTTCATTCTCTACGCCATTGCCGCCACATTCTCACATCAGTCCAATCTGTTCATTCTTATTACTTAATTCATTAATCTACCATTCATAAATCAATCAACCAATCAGCCAAACAATCAATTACTCAGTTCTGCCACATTAATTGATTATCGATTGTTGTTTATTGTTGTTATTGCTACTGCTGTTGTTTACTTGAGCCAACACAATAATATAATATTCATCGATCTGTCAGCAACACTGAACAATTGAATACTTTCAATAAACCAACGAACAATCGATTGTATTCGTTCATTTCTAAGCGATATTAAAACTCATTAACTTGCCCTCATCGCCGTCATCATCACTGTTTTCTTCATCATCTTATCTAATTTTTGTTTATTCACCTTCTAAGACTACACCTCTTCTACTGCTACAGCAGCAGCAACAACATCACAATTCTATCGCAGCACTGCCCATCCAAAGCGGATTCATCTACCTGCCTGCTTGGCTGCCATAAAATCATATAACGAATTAATTCATTAACTAATCAGTCATTACCATCCCTTATCATATCGTTTCAATTTATCACACGAATGATCTACTCTGCTTATTCATCGTCAGTTTTCGATCAGCTGTATAATTGCAGTAGTGCTCGCACTCGTATTACTATACAATCGTTTTTGTTGTAATTATTCTCACTATCACCACCTCATTACCGACTTCATTATAAGGGTTAATCGCGAAATATTTTATCACTGATAAGATATTGAATTACTCGTTAGTAGTAATATTGCTGAATATTACTATCAGCGCTACAACTGTTACTGGTATTATTACAGCTGCTGTTATTGCCTGATTAATTGGTGGCACGGGACGGCACACCTCTTCATCCTTCACTGTCACACCATTCTTTTTCTCTCGTTCAAAAAATCGAACCGTAAATTGTCTTTTCGTTGAACAGCAAGATGACTGCAACCAACGAATTTCCTCTGTCATCATCTCAGCCAATTCTCAAACTGCCATTTCTATTTTCCTTATTATTCATTCTTCAACTACAATCTCTTTTGGTAAGTATTTCATTATGTTGTATTCATCAATATTTCAGGGTACTATCTTTTTCCATCACGTTAAAGATACTGATTTCAAGCCGAATCGATACTATACGTGTACGGCCGAAAATACGAAGCTCAAGGACTACAAATTTGGCAGTCAGTTCCGATTGGATGTTACCACCAATAGGAGACGGAGCTGTAAGTTGCTATCTTTCACAATCAGAGAAGTCACAATAATTGTGGTAATGCTAACCTACTTATCCATTTCAGTATCGTCGCCAATTCCGCCAACAGAACAGTATGTCAACCAGAGTTCACCAGTGGCTTTACAAGGAACCATACATAAACTGCATTGTTTCTTCAGTGGATAGTAAGCCATGACAATTTGTTTTTGTCACAAAAATTTTAGCATTTTTTCATGATCTTCTTGCCAATCGCTACCTAACGATAGGAAACTAACGGTCACTTGAATTAATCGAAATGTAATATGCATTTGATGCTTTCGTTCAATTACACTCATCTGATCCCAACTTTCAACAACATCTCAGTTCAAGCTAACCAACAAAGAAACAAATCGAGAAACAATTCAGTTAACTTGCAGTCCTGAGCCCAAACCTGAATGGAAGCACAATGGTGTTGCGATTGCAGAAGATGATCCACGTTTCACATTTGAAGCGTATGGTAAAACGCTCGTTTTTAATGTGAGCTTCGATACAGCTGGCCAATACCAATGCATATTTCCGAATCATTTGGATTTAGATCGGAAATTTGATGTTGTCGTTGAAGGTGAATAATTAAATGTGGGCTATCTTATTGTCATCGTTGTTATTATTTTCTATTGTTGCGATTGTTTCAGCTGCACCATATTGGCCAAATGGACCACCACCAAATACGCAAACGAGTGAAGGTGAAACGGTAAAATTTGATTGCTCGGCAAGTGGAAAACCAACACCTTCGGTAACATTCTATAAGAATGGTGTAGGTAAGTAGTTGTATATGGTATTGTTATTACTATGGTTATTATTGTTTGATGATCATTTCAAACTCAATTCCTATGGTTTTGTTTTGCAGAAATGAATAATAAGCAGAAGGATAGCGATAGATGGGTTATTGATGGTAGTATATTGACACTGTACGATGTGAAGAAAGGCTTACATGGTAATGGTGATAATGCCGTCTATCAGTGCAAAGCTGAGAACAAACATGGTTATGTTTGGGCGAATTTCTATTTGAATTTACTGGGTAAGTTTTCATAAAGAGCATTTATTCATTTTTTGCACACTCGTTTATTGCAAACAAAAAGTGAATTCAACACTTCAATATGAACGCACAGAGGGAACGAAACAGATACGAGCCTGAACAGAAAAGCATTATTCGTTATGCTCTTAATCGTCGCTCATCTATTAGCAGCAAATTCATTCGCACCATATCTGATGATGGCGATTCAGTGTGACTATTTGTTCAGTTCACCTTGGAATTGATCCTTGATCTTGGAACTGACCATTAGTTTTAGGCAATACCCAAAATTGACCACTAAGCTGTCTCTCTTCATTGCCGTCAGGAATCGTGTTTTAGTCGAATTTCTTCAGCATTCAAGCCACAGCTAGTGAACGATTCCGGTGTAGTAGAAACGGTAATTGGTTCAAAAGTGACGCTGTTCTGCCGTTTCTTTGCATCGCCAATTGCTGATATCACTTGGGAAAGCAGTGTGTTGGCTGGCGTAGCGCATAATATCGTACCGGCAGATGCCCAAGGAGAAGGCAAACTCATCATTAACTGTTAGTACATTTTTATTGTTTAGAAATTGCTGATGATAGTTTATTTCACTGTACCTCTGTAACTTCAGCAGCTGGACGGGATGCGGAAGGTGAATATCGTTGTATTGGAAAGAATAAATACGATAGTGCAGTTGGGTCAGCAAAACTTGTTATTAGAGGTTCGTCGTTCTTTTTGGATGGTGGTGCAGTTCCGAATTGTGATGAGCAGTAATTCTGATATCAATAATAATATTAGTAACAATGATAGCAATAATAACAATTATAATAATGGTAATAATGATAATAATAATAATAATAATAACAGTAATAACAATAATTATAATTAATAATGATAATAATAAAGATTAATGATAATAATAGCAAACTGCTAACAGTGGTAATCAATTGATTATGTAATTTGTTAGATGCAACAAGACTAGAACCGTTCAGTCGTCAGCTAGAAAAGGTCTTGGCTGGTCATCAAATCGAGTTACCATGTGAGGCGCAACATGACGAGAACCTTCATGTTACATATGAGTGGTTAGTGGATGGTAAGCCACTGTCACAACAACATTTAGTGTCCGGTCATTATCGCGTCAGCGATACGAATTCGTTGATCATCTCAAATCCGTCACGATATGATGCTGCCAATTATTCGTGTGTCGCAAAAACTCCGTTGGATTCAGCCGAAAAGTGGATTGAAATTCGTGTTGATGGTCAGTTTGCAGTGGCTTTTTGTGTTTTCGTTGTTACTTATAAACAGGAATTGAAAATGGCTTGACTATTATGTTTGTTTACAATGAAGCATGGATGGATGTATGGATGATGCATAGTTGAAGATTTGGTTAACGGTTATTGTTATGTTCATTGCAGACGTACCAAATCCGATTCATGCTGCGTTTATTGCTAAGTGCGATCCTACTGCACAAATCACCTCAATCAAGTTTGAGTATATGGAAGACGCTGACTTTGGTGCACCGATCAAAGAAATATGGTTCGTTTTGAAGCACTTACGTAAATTTGTTCGTTTTGTTCATCACTATTGCTTTTGTAATTGTCGCTTTTGCAAATATTGGCGTGTTAGTGGTATGAAAGATGAAATTTGAACGACTAAAGGAATTTGGAATGAATTTGTAGGGCACAGTATCAAATAGATGAGGAAACTGATGGTTCGGTATGGTCAACACATCCACATCCAGTGTTGGCAGATGCATTCGAATCAGTCGAGAATAACCAGCGTATAGTCAGGGGATCGCTTGAAGTGTCCATGCGTCCATTTGGCAATGTATCTTTCGTTTTCTACAGTCTTACTGGTTTGACAGAGTAGTAATTTAACGATTGTTTGATGAATTCATTATTTTGCCTTCTTTGTTTTAGTATCATTTTCGTGTGTTTGGACGTAACGAATTTGGTGACGGCGCACCAACAAATGTAAAAGGTGAATGCAAGACTCCAGCGCGAGTCCCTGACAAGAATCCTGAAGGTGTTTGGGCGACTGGATCTCGTCCTGAGAACCTTATCGTTTTTTGGAAACCGATGCCGCGCGAAGACTGGAATGGACGTGATTTCCATTATGTTATACGATATAGACCTGTAAGTAATTATTCTGCGCTGTTGCAGCGAAACTTATGTGGAGTAGAATTATGAAGAATGATTCATTGATAATGATTGCAGTCGGGCTCAAACGGTGAATGGAAGGAAGAGAAAGTGGACGATCCGTACAGCGATCGGCATACGATTGAACTGTCTGCCGAGGATGCCTTCCGGCCATATGAAGTGCAGGTGAGTGTTGTTTCAGTTGAAGGTATGAATAAGCAGACAAATGAGTAACAATGCACAAGTTGATTTTAATCATTCATTGATCAGGTGCAAGCAGTTAATGAAGAAGGCCAATCTAATGTCGCACCACAATCGGTTGAAGGCTATACGGGTGAAGGTGACCCCAACTATACGCCAACTGGTTTTCGATTAGTGGATTCTGATTCCAGTTCAGCCACATTTGCTTGGGATCCGATAGATCGACATCAAGTGCAAGGCAATTTCACGGGTATTAAAGTGAGTAGAAATTCGTTATTGTAACTGCTCTACTTGTTTTATGTTATTCTCAAATCAACTATCATAGCATTCTCTCGGGGATTTTCAAACTCCAGATGTCAAATTGTTTCGTTTTTTGCAGATAATAACATGGTCTGAAGAAGAACCATATAAAGATGAAGAAGATAAAGAGAACGAACGATTTAAACGATTTAGCGTGGTGAGCATTGAGTAATTGAAATTTAAGAAGGTGAATTGAATCATCCGTGAAGAAGAGAAAAGTTGATGGAAGTGCAATCAGTTGAGAGCATCAATTCAAAACAGTATTGTTCATATTAGAAAATTGTTATTAATCAAATAAATTACATGATTCGATTTTACCGATCGTTTTTTGAAGAAGCTTAAGAATTGAACTCTTGCTGAATACGGCTGTAGTATATGAATACAAGTCACAGATATATGAAATAATTTAAGAGAGATGCGAAACAACAAGAACGACTTCGACGACGAACAAAACGTGGAACTTTGGGACTGGACGAAGTGCCATCAGAAAATCGAAAAACAACGATCGTATCACCAGACAAACAAACAGCCACAGTATTTAATTTACGTCCGGACAGTGTCAATTATGCACAAATCGCTGTGATGAATGGACAGAACGATGGCGCACCGTCGGAGACAATATCATTTCGCTTGAAGGAAGGCGGTTAGAATTAATTATATTTATTCATTTGATGAATAACCTAATAACAACCAATAATAATAACACTTTATTGAAGTACCAACACCAGTCCGAAATTTGGAAGTGTTACCAATGAACAATAAAAATGAAAACGAGAAAGCTGTGGTCGTAGTTAGATGGAGGAAACCGATTCATATGAATGGTAAACCATTGGGTTATACGGTTGAATCGTGTTTGGTTGCGCCAAATGGTCAAATGACACCGAGGCAATCGTGTCCTAGAAGGTTATTAGATTGACACTTCATCCTTCTTCATTCATTGTCAGGTGAACTTGGTTTGTGTATGTTAAAATTTAAGGAGTGTTGCTCCAGACGAGTATAACGTAAGAGTAACGAATTTGGAGAATCGAAGCAAGTATCGTTTCATCGTTTATGCGAGTACAGCGGCTGGTAAAGGTGATCCAAATTCACGCGATGTTATCACTCTACCCGACTACTTCCGACCGAAACGTTAGTAATGTTTTTGTGCGACGTTCGCAATTGTTTCATCACATACATTGTTCACATCAAAAATTGCGAATTGAAGATGAGTATAAGCTTAGTCGTGTTTGCTTAATTTGTTGCTCACTTTAAAGTTGCATATTCTCTTTTTGGGTGGTCGATTTGATGCAAAAATTTGTTAGATGCTAGTTGTATGGCTTTCATAATTCATTTCTGGCTCCAACACAAGCATTGTTAGATAGTCGCGTTTAAAAAGCGGACAGGAATGGACTAGTATGAGAGTTCCTTCTACGATAAGATTCAGCTGAAAGGAGCCTCACAATAAGCCTAATCTTTGAGTGAGCGCGTAAGAACAAGGCGTGTTCGTCATCGGTGTACACTACTGTATTTCGGAGAATGGGGACCCGTCCCCGGCATTTTCCAAGACGACCGCACTTCCAGAGTCTTCGGCTGCAACTTTCGCCCCCGACTCTCCTCGTCCCAGACTTGTTTCCTTCCCCGCAAAGCACTATTCTTGTTTTTCATTTGCGACTGTCAAATAATATTGTTAATAACAATCCGATAACATCATTCTGTGCTGCTGTTCAGTCTCCCTGAAGCATCATCTCCTATGTTTCCTTATTTGCATGTAATTTTATGTGCTTATTTGTCATATATTCTCTCCCTTCCTCTCTTTATAAGTTCATTTTCACTCCATGAAAAAAGCAAAAAGCATCAATATTTCGTTCGATTTCGAATGTAATTTTCATTTCAATTAACCAAAGCAGCATCAGAAGTATATTCAGTTGGCTTGAAGGAAATGCACTTGAGAGTTCTTTTATTGAGGACTCTGCTGGAAGATGGGATTGTTCTCATTTCTTTTTGCTCGTATTCTTTCTTTCGTTCATGTTGTGTTGGATTCATCTAGTTGCACTTCATTATTTTTTTATTTGTTTGTGTTTTTAAAGCAGAATTGATCAATGGAATATTGTGGTAACCTCTTTTCTTAATGTGTGCGATTGTGCTAAAGACGATGGTAATATCAAGATAGGGAACCGAGAGGAACTCAAGGTCTTAATAAAGAGGACTGGATATGGGGATACAATAGAAGAGGGAAATGAAGAGTTTGTATCAGAGGAGAATCTTGATATTAAGTGAGGAAAGAATGAAGTGATGCATAGATTATTATGTATGTATTGCTATAATATTATGCATTTTTTTGATCTAACCTTTTGATTATTATTATTATTATTATTAAATTTATTGTCAATATTAGTTTTATTATTATTGATGCGTTATCGTCTGATAGAATTAATTGACAAGTCAAAACGAATAAGCAGACAGAAGAAAAACTTGATGAGGTAAAATGAAGCATGAAATTATTCAGTGGGCTTTGTTACTAAGTTGTGTTGCTAGCAAGCAGAATGTCGGGCAAGATACAGATAGGTGTGATGGAAACTATGTTTGGTGTTTCCATTGGATGGGATGTGTTGGTTTGTTAGTGAACAGCGGTTACCCTTGTTGTATTATTCGGTGAATGACGAAAGAACGAACCAAACCAATCGAGGACAGCAGATATTTCGAGATTCTGAAATATCGGCTTTATGTGACCGATAGAACAAGCAAATTAGCAACTACTAGAGATGATTGAATATAATTAGCAATATAAACACTTTCATTTGGGTGTGTATGTTATTATAAGGTAGCTAGTGATGATGGTTTGTGGTTATAATGCGAAAAAGGAAAGTGAAAAGACAAGGCAGGGCGCAGCTGGCACGTAGTCCCATACACTTGCATACTTATTAACGACGCAATGCACAGTATGTGTATATCAGCAAGGAATCGAATCGCATATGAGCTTGATTAATGAGTGGAACGTGATATTAGTTTATGTCTTAGATGCGATGAGAGTCTATCTGATATTAGCAGACAGCTTACAATATCTAGTGATGCGTTGCCGTCACTAATTCATCGAGTTCGATTCGACAGGTGAATCGAACCTATGAATCGCTCATTATAGTGAGCGATTTTGTTCATTGTCTAATGAAAATTATTTCACTGTATATTTACTGCATCATATTTTAGTGAATTATGAAGTGAAAGAACACTAAAGTAATTGGTTATTTGATGTTCGAGTAAGTATCATAGTATTATTTTAGGCTTCATTTTGCAGCTCGCCAGTTCCATTATATGTTGATATGTTCAGTTAATCGCAAATAATCCTTACATCAGTTTTGAGAGAATTTAATCGATAGCTATGTAGGTAGATGGATGGATAACTAACTTAACTCTCAAAATAAATTTCTGTTTCTGAGTAATTGGGTTTGTCGAGGTGGTTGAATTTGGGTTTGGTTCAGTTGTTTTTTCGGTTGTATGAGGTCTAGGCTGTAAGCGTGAGGTGCAAATAAATGGATGTACAGTCACTAGATTGAAGGACCGATTGGCTGTTGCCATCTGATGCGAGTATTAAAGCTTTGTCTGGTGATTGCCAATACCAGCTATCAGTTCTAGTAGTTCAATGCTTCAGATTGTGTTTTATCAAGCTAAGCAGCTCATTTGAAAGAGACTATCCACACATTTTTTTAACAGAAATTTCGATTCAACTGTTGCTCATTCAACGCCAATTGAATATTTTGTTTACCGTCGAAGTATTGCCTTATAAATTTTGTATTTAAATCGAACGAACGATCAAAATAAAGCAATTAAGGATCGGTCGATTCATGCCATATCCATTCGTTTACATATCTCTCTCAGTATCATCGTGCTATCAGTTTGAATATTTCGTCATATCTCTATGATGATTATGTGACCTCATTGCTGTCAAACAACGGCACATTCTATGCCTATCGCATTCATCAGATCCGCATATCATCGTTCCATCTTCCAATTTTATTTCAACATGTTATTCGTCTTCATTATTGTCATTTTTACTATTCTCGTTCCATCGTGCAATACCGCTGAGACAGCTAGTCTTACTGATATCAACAATAACACTGCTGCCGCATATACTCGTCAACTCAGCACCATTATCACCGATGGCGAGCATTTTGAAACTATCCTAAACACTGGCAATAAAACTAGTGAGAATGATCATAATGCTCCTACGTATACAAATAAGCGTATTTCCACTGCAGATCCTTTATTACGTGCTGGTAAGTGTAGTAGAACTATTCGTAGTAACAATGGTGTTGATAATAATAATGTTAATAAGAACGATTGCAGTTGAACCAGTGCAACCGTTGCTAGAAGAGAGTGGTGTTGGTGATGATCACATAAATATAACTATAACACCGGGTGAATATGACGAAAGTGACGAAAGACCTATTGGTAATGCAGTGTACGTGAAGTATAAGAAAAGTGATTCTGAAGATTGGGAAGTTGCACAGCCACATCGTTCGTTGTTCATTTATTCGTTTAATTTCTTTTAATTATTATTGTAATATGGCGTGAAGTTTGGAAATTTTCACATTTCTATCAGTGTAAGCAGATGATGTGTTATGTGAATGGAATCGTAATCGTGATTTGCCATTTGTAGATGATAATTTAACGATACACATCGGTGATCTGGAACCTGGTACCAAATACGACATTGCGGTTGTTGCTCAACAAAAAGATCCTTCTGGGGAAATTCGAGAGACGGAATCAAGTGTTGTGCAAGTAATGACGACTGGCAGTGGTTCGTCAAATTCGTCTGATAGAAAAAATATTAATAATCGCAACTTCAATAAGGAATGATTGAATTGATCCATTTTCAGCTGTGCGAAGTGGTAAAATGTGGTGGTTAATAATAATTTTGCTAACCATATTATTACTACTAATAATTTTGTGTATTGTTTGTGTGGCTGCTAGACAGCGTGGTGCCAACTATCCAGTATCTGAAAAAGAACGACAGCAAGGTCGTCAACCGATTCTTTCAGGTGGCAAAGATCGGGGTTTCGGCGAATATGTTAAACCGTTCGTTCTTCGTCATTCTCATCCCGTTTTTTTCAGCATGTTTTGATAATGTCAAAATTTCATCATGTAATCATTTTGCTCCATATGGCTAGCGATGGATCAATAAATGTGTTCTGTTATGAAGAAATAATAAGTCAGCTTGTTGGTAGCAGCTGTTTAGACGTTGATTTGTTTATTTAATTAGGGAAGACGATGAGAAGAGGTCGTTAACGGGCAGTAAACCAGAATCTGAAACTGACTCGATGGCAGAATATGGAGATTCTGACCCTGGCCGATTCACTGAAGATGGTTCTTTCATAGGTTCGTTATTCTAGTGATAATAATGATGATGATAGTAATGATAACAACAAGTGTAATATTAATGCTTACAGTATATAAATAGAGTGAAGTTGATTGTGTTGATTACAGTAAATATTCATCTGATTTCAGGTCAATATGTCCCTAACAAAACGCTGGTTAGTTCCTCAGGTGATAAGCCCGATAAAGATTCAGCATCTACGTTTGTCTAGTAGTTTGTCAACAACAGGAAAATGAGAAGACAAGACATAATGAGAAGAGACGAGACGAGATGATTTTGTTCATAAATGCTGGTGGTTGGCTGGATGCCGATTGTTGCTCGCTTGTGTTTATCAATTAGTGGATGAAAAACGAAACTTTTACCAATCTCAACTCAAACGTATCAAATATTTGTGTTGAAATTGTACTCACTACTTGAATTGAATTTATATTACGCACGTGCCACAAATGTGTACATAGGTAGATAACCAGATAGATGATGTAGGTATAAGTAACATCCGCTAGCATTCGGTGATAGTTGATAAGAAAGACTTTTATATTGTACTTACATTGCCTTAGTATTAATGCTATCGTAAGATGGAACGGAACAATGGATACTCATACAGTTATTCGTTGCATTGCATTTTGTTTCTCATACTAGCTATTCTATGTTTTCGGTCATCCGCCCAAATTTGTTTTTTTTTTTGACAGCAGTTTGAAGAATTTTCATTCGTTTTTGTTTTGATATTGCTTATTTATATTTTCTTGAAATATACATTTTACATCATCAATCCATCCATTCATTATCCGCATTCTATGCGTTCTTCTCTGTTCTGCTCGTCTCATCTTTTCGATTTGTTCAACTGAGTTGAAGAATAATTTATGATGATTGTTCAACATATGATCATCTTCTTCGTTTGTGCCATTTTCATATTATCATTATTCGATTAGCTTTTGATCAGTGAATAACGATAAGTCAATGTGAGTGGTGCGTGTCGTTATTATATTTGCTGTTGTGCTGATAATATTTGATGTGTTGTTGCGATGGTGTGATATGATAAAGATGATATCATACTTACGACGAAGAATTTATGTATAATAGATAATTTCATCGAGTCATACATTCACGAATATATACGTTTTGTATGTGTTTGTTGGTATGATTGATTTGGTTGTTATTTATTATTGATGACTGCAACGTGGGATATTCAGTATGTTTGTTCTGGGTTTTTTTTNTTTTTTTTGTTTATTTGTTACCTGTAATATTTCTGGTTGCATTGTCATCGCCATCATTGTGATCGCTCCACAATGCGCTTTTTCGATCGACTTTTTTTGCGCTGTCATTCTAGATTTTATATTCTAGGCTATCCAATTTTGCGTTCTATGCGAGAAAGAAGCATAATAAATGAATAATCGCATATAATGAGAACTTTTGCGTTGTGTTTTTTTTTTGAAATTTGTTTGTGTTTTGTTTGATGTTGGTGTTCGATTGATGAGCACAGTACATTCAATAAGCATAATTCGATCATTGTGGCAAAGAGTTATTTTTGTTACTATAAAAGTAGACAATTGAAACATTCCGCTTAATTAATATCATCATACGATATTTGATGATTTATTTGTATCGTTATTTGTTTGTTGATTTCATTACTTTATTACTACGCCTCAGCAATTTATTCATTCACGTATTTGTTGTGTGCATCGTGCTCTTTCATCTTGACGAGTCCTTCGAGGGAATTATAGTGATTGTCAGTTTCACTTCATGGATTTGAGCCACGTGATGATTGTTCATCATTCCAGATAGATATGTTTACGCCTAAATGAAAAAAAAAAGTTGATTCCTTGTTATTGAAGATCACAACTGCTCGAAAATTAGTATTCCAGTTGAATAAATGTGACCGATTGCGGGGGGTTTTTTCTAATGGATTGATTAGAACGCCTCAGGTTTTTCATGTGAATCATTTGAGGCCAACAAGTAGGATTCAGAAAGCCTAAGGATTAGAGATTCATTGGCAAACAAGAACTGCAAGATTCACTGTTTTTCATTGGTTTCGCGCGTCGCACGCTCTCTCTTTCTCCCTCTTTCTCTCTCTTTCTCAGTCTCTCTCGTTATTAAATGTCTCCTCATTTTTTTCTTTTTAAAAGCGATTATTAATGACACCCGTGTGATTCTTATCAATTTGTTCTCAGAATGTTTTTATTCGTTTTTGTTTGCTTCTATTTTATTGTCATCTGTCTCAATCATAATATATAATATACCATTTACATAATATAATGTATGTAATACTTTGATTTTTTTTTTGAAATATTACTATTATTATTACGCTCGATGTAATTTTTTGAATATTTCAAAGTTCATTCATTGCACACTGCCCTTGTTCATGTTGTATAACGCTGGAAATTTTAAATGTTCCTTTATTGTCTTCATTTGAAGTTTCTCGATTTGAATTATTTTCAGCATTGTTTACGCTCGCTCACCGCTTTTTGTTGTCTTTATTATTACCTGGATCACCTTTATTATTAACACTATAAAAATGATCAATGCGAGATATTTTCTTTGAAGTTGTTATGGATGAGTCAGTTGTTTTTTTGCTTTATTTTGTTAAGTTATATCACCATTTTTGATTCATCTCATGATTTGTTCTTTTCTTTTTTCCTTGAAAGAAAAAATGGCTTTATCATGTAGATATATTATCATAATTCATACTCATATGTATATATCATATACGTATATATACAAAAATATCTTTGCTTCATCAAATATATCGACTTTTTCAATATTCACAAGGTGCAACTCTTTTGTTTGCGCCATTTCTTGTACGTATGTGTGTTTTTTCTGTTATTCATCTGCATGTGTAAGATGCTGCCGTTATCGACGATGTGTTCGTTCGTTATTGGCTGAGTGTTTTGCGAGAGGAACAATTATTAGCTCTGTCGTTGGCAGATCAAAGGAATGTTGATTCCCTTAATGTTGATCGAAGGAATGTTCCAAGAAAATGTTAACGTCACACCGACTAGGGATTAGTTGAAGTTGGATAATTCAGAATCAGCTAGTACTGATTCAGTGAATTAATAAATTTGTGAAATACTGAAACTTTAAAACATTTGATTCAAAAAAAGGTGGCGGTGTTGAATGTTACATTGATTATTCAGAATCCAAACTCGAGAGGGTACTCATTCACACTTTCTTGGATTGTTTGTTTAGATTTTTTTTGAAAGTGACTTCAAAAGGTAGTTATTGCTATCGTCAACCTCGTAGGATGGCTATTAAATTAATACTTCATCATGTGTTACCGAGGCAGGACGCATTCACAGTGTCGGTTTGCTTGGGTTCAGATTCTGCATGAACTCCGTAATTAGAGATTGCAACTTTATTATTCGTACCCACGACACAGATGAACTTTATTGTTCGTACCCAAGCACGACGTCTATTCATACTCCGTGTGGGGTGGGTCCGCGATGAAACGTGCCCACAGAGAGAATGAAGGCATTACTGTTAAGAAGACATTCCCACCCCTCACATGTGTTCACCCGGGAGATTTTTGCGCTATGTGCGCTGGTCTAAGTTGTGACCACTAGAGTACGTGTGAAGATGAATATAAGCGAGAGAAAAGTGCAGGTGACGAATCACGTTGCATCTCCATTAGTTTTTTTCACGTAAATCTATCTGGGGCTCTTTTGCGGATAACGGGCGCCAATGCGCGCATGTGCTTATATTCTTACCACTTTGCCCCGTGTGTAGATATGCAATTCGAAGTCAGATCCAGGAGTATGATTAAGCTTAGACTTCCGCTTAGCCCAGTGATGAGGCTAACGCATATGCTTCGACTTATGTGTGAAGCGTATGAGCACACGAGCATCTGTGATGGCGCTGTGGCGCCCGTTATCTGCAAAAGTGCCCTAATCACTTCCCGCATCCTTTCGTTAGTCGGTAAATTGTTTGCGTACGCTGAGTATCCATTCACTGTTTCGTGCAGTTATTCTAACATTTATCGTCGGTCATTAGCACAGTATTTTGTATTTGCGCGTTGTTTTTGTTTTGGTTGGGTATTTGCTCTTGTGGTACGATTACATATGTTCTCACTCAATTGCGTATGCAAGAGGTACGCTCATTGTTCAATATAATGCGTGGTTTCAACACTGGTTGAAGATTTGCTCTTTTTGGTATGAGATTGAGCCAAAAAGTACACATGGTGACTGCAAAATAGTCCTTTTCGACTATCTGCGAAGCGCTTATTTTTGTTGAATGTCTGCATTTCTGCTTGATTAAAGCTCATCGTTCGGAAATCATCTAGAGAGAACGAATGAACAGCATGTTGTTGAGGTTGGATGTGTATGAAACGAAGAGTCGATGCAGCTGTAGAATGAAAAAGTACAGTCTAGCCAAGCAACAAATGTTCATGTTTTTGTTGATGTTCAATGCAATCAAGATTGCGTTGAATGTACTCGAAGCATAGTATTATTTGAAGTCCATCTGTGTGTTGAAGTGTGCTGCGCTTAAGTGTCAGTTTTATTGAATGATACTGAATTTTAGATTGGAAATGTATTATGTTTAATGCTGCTTTTTGCTTCGCTTATGTGTTATTGTAATTAATTATCTCATTATCTGACTCATGTCTGCCTCATATGATTATCGAAAAGATGAAAATAATTTTCTGATTGACGAATAAATGTATTGATAATGATTGTGTATCAATCATGTTTGATATAGTTAAACATTCAATGGATGTGACGGATGACAATTTTGCGCAGTTATTACCTCAGATTTTGAATACCGTCCAGAACGCATCTTTTGTTGGTGAGTTGTTCGTTCATTTGCCGTTGCTATTTCTGTTGTTTAGAACCATCATGATTATCGTTATCATCATTTGCAATCATTCATGGCAAAATTTCTTGTGCCGACCATGCTCAAAGGTACCTTTGAATGTAACAACAGACCTTTAATGTAATTAATTTAAGCGTTTGATTTGGAATTCCTCGGTTTTCACGGTGATGACGACGCAAATCGTCCATCCTTATTCGACAGTCCTGTTGAACGTTACAGGAAACAAAGACTATCTGTGCTAAAATTTCCACCAGTTCAATGGGGTTTAGCATTGTTCACAGCAGTTGACGATGGAAGACAGTATGCGATTATTATGTTATTCTTTATTCTCAGTGTCATCAATAAAACTTATTATCACCGTCATTAGTATGAATAATAATGGTATATTATTTTTGCTAATGCTAAATTTTTTATAGTTATAAAGTGGACGTTTACAACATATATTTGTTCAAACGAACAATAAATCGTCGTGTGTATTCGTTTTCAATTCCATCGATCGCTTTTCTTGGGGAGCATGATTTTGACTTCAATAAAGTGTGTATAAGTATTGATGATTTGTTTCATATCATTTTCGTTTTTTGTTATTGCCATTAATTTATGCAACTTTCAAGGCAATAAATAAGGGTGTAACATACGCAAATTTGGATGAAGTTGCTGTAATACGTTCACATCTCGAGGAAGGTCTTTTGGATTATGAGTATGTTTCCAAGTAGCTATCTTTTGAAAGTGTTGTTGAAAGTTTAATTATCATTATCATTTTATAGAATATTTGGTGAACGTTTCAATAGTCATTTGATCTCAGTACAGTGTTATTTATCCAATATGTTGGAAAGACTAAGAAAAGCTTCATCACCTCCAACAACACCACCCGCTTCACGGGTAAGAGTAATTCATTGTTGTCTCTGCCATTAATATTACTATTACTATCATGTCATCCATATAACTGCATAGGTCACTGTCGTGAGGTTGAATAATTTTTTAGGCGGATGGATTTGCGCCGTTCGTCGTTGATTTAGAAGATGCAATGTTTGATCCGTATGCATGTCGTAGTGAAACGCAACCGTTAAATTATCGTAAATTTCGTGCCACACGTCTTCAGTCTCATGCACGTTTATTCTCCTTACATTCCAACACACACCACGTTAAGCTGAAAATGGATGGACATAAAGTGGGTTTTTGTTTTGTTGTCGTTGCATCATACTATCATACGTAACATACTTTAGTAGCGTCATTTGTTTTACAGCTTCATGTGCAACAGGCAAAATCCAGTGAACGGAGAGTTAGAAACGAACGAACCAAACTGTTGAATAAGTAAGTTTGTTGATTTTAAAAAATCTTAATGGTTGTTTTTGGTCAGACTTGATGGAAATATGTTTATTGGGACTATTATTATTGTTATTACTGTAGAGAATGATTTTATCAATTGTTCAGAACGATTAACGAAATTGCTGGTGCATCCCAAATTCTCTACGCAATCATCGAAGCAAGATTGGTAAAAAATATTTTTCGTTTAATCGTGAATCCTGTGAAATGTATTAATTTAACTCGTTATCGAGTCAGCATTGCTTTACAGCGTTTTAGAAGCCTATTGTGAAATTGAATGAGACGTTGCGACATCGGCGCGTTTTTTTCTTTGTCGGATATTTCGAGCGAGTTGCTTTAGATAATAAGCAAGCTGCCAATCGGGTGATTATAACTTGAGTTGATTGATAACACACTTAATGGTTTGACGAAAACTGGTAACAAAGAAATAGTGGCAGTAAAATAAAGTAGAACAATAGCAGAAATCAATGTGAGCAACATAAAATGTCAAACAAAACTGGATATTGGCTGAAAATCGCAGAATTTGTGTCATCAGGTAGTATACAAAACAAAGTAATGCAGAATATGATGAAAGATGAAGAACACTTTATATACCAGCGGTTCTCACGCCCGGTGCTCCATTACTCATCTTGATGATCTGGCACGCCGCCGTTACCCCTCCGCTCCCCTCCGGATACAAAAACTTACAATTTCTACGTCGGGAACAAAAGGAACATCGGTCCGGAAATTCCTCAGTAATAACTGCACGAAATACTAATTCCCCGACTCCCTCCGTAACCCCCACGAGACCCCCTAACTACTCGAAATGGGTAACCTCACCCCCTATGAGAACCACTGGTATATACAAATGAAATGGGATGAATCATAAGACTTTCGTTCAAGTTCTATTGAAATAATCTTTTGGTACCAAGGGGCTTGAAGCTGCAGATTTCGTTAGCTTGGTCCCGGAGCAGTCATTTCTTATCTACTGCAATAATAATGAAGAAATAAATCAATTTTCAATCATCAATTCGACCAACAGTTGTTCCAAACCGTTCGTCCTGATTGGTGCTCTGCGTTATTTTTCGAAAATTCTGGAAATTGCTTATGGTTGGAAGCCGTCAGTTTAGAACTGTTTGAGTAGTTCATTTTAATGCAATCTTCCTCAAGAATATTTCATAATTTTAGCCACTGGTCGGCCACAATTGTCTATTCGATTTGCTTTATCTGTATCAATATTTCTTCGCTGATTTACCAGGTTGGCCATAGATTTTCTTTATTTGATTTTCTCTCTACTGTCATTACAGTTACTGTTTATATTCTGTCGTATGCCTCGTTTCAATTTCATTGTGGTTATTTTTTCAGAAGATTATGGCAAATGGAAAAAAGCATTGAATTCAATCTTTCCCGTTATTGTCGATACACGTATTCTCGCTGAAGAAAATCGACGAGTTAGTTAAATTCTGGGATTGTTCGCGTCTTTTACTTATGTGACTTTCGTGATGATCTGTATTATATAAATAAACATGAACTCTATTGGTTATTAGTCATGTCGTGTGTTGAACTATTCGGTATTTTTAACTGTTCTAAGTTTAGCGGCTCTCGTGGCACGGAATAATGAATTATTCGTTGGCGACATTGGGTGCATACTTTAAACAGTAAATTTATTATCTTCATTTTTGTTGTTATTATCACTTTTGGTGGTCATTTAACGTCACAGTTTTTAGAGAACGAGAACGATCAATTCATAATTATTCCTCCATTTTCTTTCAGTCCGGTCAGCGGTGATAATTTGCCCTACCGATTTCCGGATTTCTCTTTGGCCAATGCAGCATTACTCAAATATGCAGGTTTGTTATGTTCAATCCATTAATTCGTTTAATACCTTCATTTGAAAATTTGTAAGCTGACTGAATAAATGTGAAATACATTAGATAAAATATGCACAATTGAATAAGTTCTTGGCTGGAATAGCTCGCTTAGGAAATAAGATATCGGGACAAATTCTCAATTTTGAAAATCGTCCACAGTAGGACGATTTTCAAAATTGAGAATTTGTCCCGATATCTTATTTCGATTGCTAGTACATATTGTGCATGTTTTAATATCGTTGCAGACCGAGATCGAGAATATTTCCATAATGCAGCATACGATGCCAAAACAACTGGTGAGACTTTCGTGCGATTGGCTTATCTTACCTTGTGCAATACGTTGGTTTTTGTTCCTTTCTCTGTTTTTTGACATACATTATCTGCTACTATCATTGCTCGTCATCTCTAAGTCACTGGTTTTTTATTCGATTAGAATTATCGTTAGTGTTATTTTTAGGGTATGTGTGGGCGATAAGCCAAAAGCAATAAAAGGCTGTCGCCCATTCCGTGTCCTCCTCTATGTTGTGAGACCGTTCGCAAATCGTATTCCAGTATCTCTGATGGGCGTTCCTTTCCTTAACTTGGTATGCGGAGTCAATTGAAACAAACAACGTTTATTGTTCTCATTATAGTTTATTGCTGTCGTTGGATTGCTAACGTTGTATGAATATGAAAGTAATTTTAAGGTGGGCGATGATCCGCCATCAACTCGGCCTAAAGCTATAATGCTTGAAGGTATTGGAGTTAGCCGTCGATGTTTTTATCCGTTTTCATATCCAAGACTGTCATTAATAAATATAGCGGCATTAAAACGAGAAGTGAATCTCTTGTTTGGAAATTGGAGATGTGATCTACAAGCGATTGATGGAGGCACAAGAGTGTTATTGGCAACGAATACTGATCACACGTTAGTGTTTACTTTACTTATTCATTCCTTCATTATTGTGGTTGCAATTGATGTTAATAATGATGACGAATTTCAGCTATAATCGAGTGTACAATTATTATTCATGTCATGCCTCGTATAAAGTTATATCTGATAAAGAGGCTATAAATCAAGCCATCAAGAGTCCTATGAGGAGGATTTCTGAATTGTTTTTACAAACAAATTTTATTGATCATATGAAACTCTTGTTTCATAAAGTCAAATATCTAAAATGGTATGCTTCATTATTGCTTTAGCTCATTGTAATATTCTTTTCATTATCATTGTTGTTTTTGCAATTGGTATTCCATTGTTACAATTCCATCAATGTTGTCATAAATTGTTTTCTAATCATTCTACAGTGAATTCCTAACTATTCATCGTGAATAATTGTGCACGTTTTAATGTTTCAAAAGTTTATTTCAGGCCACTGGGTGTTTGTTCATGTGCAGTATTATTGGCTCATTGCGTTATTCGATATATGGTTGTTGTACGTTAGCCAATAATGATTGAAGAAACCGAGAAAAAAACGATGGAGATTTCTCAAATAAATAATAAAAACCTAAAAATGACTATAAAAAACTGGATTCTTGGTATTTGCTTTCTTTTGTCGAAGAAAACAGTAACAAAGAAACGAAAAATTGGAATGTAAAATCAATCTCTTGCTCGTTGCCGATGAATTCAGTGTGCTTGGCGAGAGTACTATTGAAAACGATAGTAATTTCAACGAATATGAGTGGGATTTCTGGAACAATCCAAGCCAGCACGTATGTCTGGTTTGTACATATAGTGAGCATTATTAGTATTATAATTATTGTATTATCGTTGTTGTTTTACCTGCATATATTTTTGAATTTAAGCAGTTTGTGCCGTTCTGCAATTCTTTTTCATGCTAATATTTAATTGCGTACAATCACGTTCTGCTCTCCGATTTATGATGTCTTCATAATCCTTAAATATCATCTTCCATGTATCATTTATCTGTTTTAACTTCAATCCTAATTAACTCTCATTGACTATCTCATTTGTCTCTATCAAGAAATAACTCATGGTTTTATTTAGCCTAGCTGAGTGCCTATGGTCGTTTATCAACCAATCGAGCAATTTTTTTTGGTTTATTCATTTTTGGAACATTCATGTTGTCGTTTTTATAATTTTCACTGTTGTTATTCTTACTATAATAATGACCATACATATATGCTCATGTTCGCGTGCGATTTTAGCCTCTGAACACCTCATTCATGTTACTTCTCATGATTGTTAATATCAATGTTATACCTGACTGTGAACAAGTTGAATTGACAAAACAATACTTCAGCTGACTGTCATTTTTAAGGGTCTATAAATTAATGTCTAAGTAACGAAGCAATAATGACAAACAAATTATGACTCATTTTACTGATTATTTACCTTATAATATCGTGTAACACTGATGTTCTTATTCTCAGCGTTTTAAAAATAACTATCATTCAATTGCTGTGTTCTGTACTGTATTTGATATTGGATGAATGTTTTATTTTATGATTTTGCTGTTTTGTATTTGTATGAGTATATGATGTATATATTTTGAATTTTTTAAAAGATATTTACGCGCTATTTGCAAATGTATCGTCCAAACTTACTTGTAGTCTGTCAATCTTCTATTCTTTTATTGTCCTGTTAGTATTTTCCTTTTACCCTTTCATGCGTTTTCAACATCATATTGGTTCGTTTGAGTTAGAAGGAGCTAGATGCTATGAAAAATGCCGTAGTCTAGTTATTTGCTTGAATTTCGCTCTCATCTTACCTTGTTCTGTATATTGTTTTTTGAATTTTCATTACTCTTAATGAGACTTTCCTTCTCTTCAAACTGATTTATGAATTTATCATCAAGAAAAATAGATGTCTAAAAGTAAACCATAAAAAAGAAAGCTAGTTACCAGCTGGCCAAATACGTTCAAGTTTCTTATGAAATTCTCAGCTTCAATTATCGTTGATATTTGAGGTTTACACTCCAAAAAAAATTCCATGTTTCTATTGTTATGAAGAAATTTCTTCTTTTCTTTTTTCAAACTTCATGTTAACATTCCATCGGTTTTTGTTGGTTTGATTTTTAAAGTTTACATATTGCTTATAAAACCTCCTTAAACAAATATGTGAATATTTTGTGTTGAAAATTTGTTTAAATTTCGAAAAAGTAGTCTTTTAAGAATATGATATCATAGAAATCAAAATATCCGACAGTTCTTTGTCTTCTGATCTGATCGAATCAATAATCTCCACGCAAGTTGTCTGTAATATCTCGCCTTTTTGATCTGTCTATCCATCTGTTTATTTTTGAGTTTTGGTGCAGTGCACCGTTGATTAGGATTTGTGTTGGGAAGAGTCATTGTTTTGCTAATAGCAGCAATAATGAAGTATTTCATTTCAATTTTATTGTTTCATTTATAATATTATCATGAAGATTGATTATTATTATTATCACTATGATTAAGATTATTGTTATTGTTGTCGTTCCTAGTATTGTCATATCAATGCATCTTTTATTCGCGATTGCCTTTGGGTGACTCACTCTGATGGCCCATACAGTCTTCATTTCGTTTTCTTTTTTTTACTCTAGACGAGTCAATGACGAGCTTCTTGTACATTCTAAAAATTTCTTTCTTCTTTTTTCTCACATCCTCTGTCTGTTTCCTAGATTTAAAAAAAATCGATTTATGAGTTCAAATTTTCTTATCTCTTTCTTCATTGTCCCTCGTTTCTTCGTTTTGATTTTTGTTTGTTGTTCTCTTAATAATTTCATGAATCCTCCTTATTATCGATATCATCGTCATGGTAGTGATGGTATATTTTTTTGGTTACTAAGCTCAGAATTTACCGGGGTACACAGTCTGAAATTAGCTCTCTCCGAAGGTAACGGGTTGAGTTTAACAAGTATGATGCTCACGAGTTTCATGGCTTAATTCACTTGAGCTTGACTTCAAAGCAAACTGAAGTTCTATTCGCTTCCGTATGCGGTTTTTGACTGTTTACTTTCACCAGTTAAGACGACGTTTTCGAGGTTGCTATTTGATTGTTTCATGCGAAAGCATTTGTTAATGGTTTCTATTAAGTGTCATTTAAAAAACCTCATTAAAATTTGCTCATATTAAGCTACTTTATTGACTAGCTTTCTAGAATTTCAACTCTTCCTGAATAAACCCGCAGATCCCTTGTCAGGGAATTGCATGTGACCATCAGTTGCGATAGGAATGAGACTAGCACCATTCAAAAGAGCGTCGAAAGTTATGCATAGAAGTTTTCAAAACTTTTTACAGTGTGAACACAATCTGGAAATGAAACAAAAAAAAAGTTTGACCTGGTCTGTATCGTCGCATAGGAATCCTTGATGACTTTTTCGAACAGTGTTAATCTGATCGTAACAATTTCCCTGGCGAAATGTGAACAATGATTCACATCAAATGCTTATCACCTATTTTTTTTTACATTCTGAAACAATCCCGAATCGTTATGCTGTTGTTTCTGGGTTATATATCAGAGTTCCTTCGCTCTTTGTATGTGTATTAATGATTCGATTCTTGTATATTACCATAATTTTTGTCATTGATTATCAGCATATTGACTGTTTATATTTTAAATTAGCATTCGTATGATTTCGCGGTCATACGCTTGTTAAACAGCATCTTGTACGTTGAATTTTTTTGTCTTCTGTCCGTTTCATTCTTTGTAAATTAGCAGCTTGTTCATTTGATCATTCAGTTTCCTTGTTAAGAAATGCTCGTTTCCTCGCAAGCGATATTGCTGTATTTAACTCCGCTGCTGCTGTTTCAAACATGTTCCATTTCGGTGATAAAAGGTCTGACCAACAGTTTGTTGTGATTACAAGCATTACGCAATAGTTACTGCTTAGTACGTGATGCGATCGGTATTGTATCATTCTGTGCGTTCTTGTGTTCCTTTCATCTGGGGAGTAATCAGAACAGTGACAGCTTGAGCATAAAGGAGAAAGACGGACGGATAAGAACAAATGCGTTGTTAAGGCGGGAGAAAAAACGATGAAATAAACCACAAAAAAAGAATTTTTAGTCGAAAACCATTGGCAACGAGCATGAAAGAAAATGTTGAAGTGGACTTACTTGATCACTTGATTTCGGCGTTACATTTGTCTTATATTTGACTACCGTTCTTTGCTTGTGCATAAAATGTCCAGGAAACGAAATTCTGTTCCTCGTGATACGGCCAAAGACATCATCCTCGGACTAGCGTACGAATTTTCCATTTCATTTTGACGATCAATTTCAATATTACGTTTCATAATCAGTGATAGTAATTTCAGGGCTTTTAAATGTGAATTCATTGAATGCTATTCATTATGAACATACATTTTGCATTCATCATTAGATTTAAAGACGTGTAAAATTACTTGCTGAAAATACTTGTTGCGATTGAGCGAGAATTTCAGGCCATCTGGAGCAGGTCCACGCGAACCAAGAGAAGGTATTGTACCGCAAACGAATGAACAACCCAAGCAAAAGGTAACAATTCATCAAAACTCAGTTCATCAAATTTTGAGTTCATCAAAACTCAAAATTTGAAAACAAAAACCATATAATGTTCAGTAGCTTATTGGAGGAAAGTATTGCAATTCTTCAATTGATCAGTCATAATCCTCACTTCATGATTGTACAGCGAATCGTTCAGTCGCATATATTCGTTGATTAAACATGAGGAAAAGGCGAATTCCCTCACTAAACTTCTGATACATTAATTCGCATTGACAAATAAATTTTTTAGACGAAGTCAACGCCAACCTCATCAACAATATCTACGACGATTGATCATGCAACAATTGAAAATTTACAAAATCTCTTTACACGTTTTCAGCGACAATACAAAGAGCACGTCAATTCAGTTGAAGTTGATTGGCTTGAAATTATTATTGCCACTGAAGTTTATTTTCGCACTTATTTTGATTTTCTGATCCCTCATAAACTCTTGCTCGAACCATGCTGAGGTCTACTTGGTGGGAGTGAAGTGCAACACTCTTGAAATCAGTCAGCGAAAGAGACATGCAGTTGAAGCTAGTGTTCGTCGGGGAGCAGTTTTTCGGACGGAGCGGGACCTCACGGGAAGAAAACTGGACGGGAGGGGGGGGTCCTGGCCAAAAAAGTAGGGGAGCAAATTGCACGGGGGGGGGGGGGGGAAGAGCGCTCACCAAGGACCCTGTTCCTCGACGAACACTAGTTGAAACTAATTAACAGCAACAGAGAGCTGAATAGCCATGCATCATTTATTTATGTTGTATCTCAACAAGTGCTCAGTCGAGCCTAGCTTCATGTGTGGTCGTTGAATTTGCTTCGCATATTCAACAATCTGATAAGTGTCAATGGTCTGAAAAGCGACTTTATCTCATATTGATGTTTGTTTGATGATGAAGAGATGATGTTCGATGAAAGATATTGCAGTTGGTTCATAAAAAGCTAGAAGCGAATCAACTTGATTTGAAGCAAAAACTTGGTA